GGAGGACGGAAAAAGATCATGACAACGAGGACAAGGAGGAGGAAGAGAAGAAGAAGAAGAGGAGGGAGGGGGAGGAGGAGGAGGAGGAGGAGGAGAAGAAGACAAAGAAGAGGAGGAGAAGGAGGAGGACGAGGAGGAGGAGAAGAAGAAGAAGAAGAAGAAGAAGAAGAAGAAGAAGAAGATGAAAAAAGAAGAAAAAGAAGAAGAAGAAGAAGAGGAGGTATGATGCTGGTGGACTTACCTTCGCGGCTATGGGGGGCTGTTGTGACGAAGTGGGCTGGCGGGGCGAAGCAGCTGCACAGAGAGGTCGATGGCGGGCTCGAGACGGGGCGCTGGCACTGGTCGCGTGGTGGTAGCACATGACGTCGACGTGCATGCTGAATGGCACCACGTCAACGTTGTGTGATGTTGCTGTAGCATGGGGCAGGCGGGGCGGAGGCAGCGGAAAACCACGTCTCGATTCACATTTCAAAACGCGGCCGATTTCGGTGGCAGATACGCAGATCTGTGGTCAACATCGACCGCGTTTTCAAATTGCAAACGGGGGCGTACCGGACCCCGTTTTCTTTTGGAAACATGAGGCCGATCTCCACTGTCGATCTGCGCGGATCGGCAGCAGAGATTGGCCGTGCCTTCTCAAAAGAAAACGGGGTCCGGTAGAGCCCGTTTTTTTTTTCCACTGCTGGCGACGGCCTCCCAGAGGCTGGGCAGGGACGGGGATGCTAAAAAATCCCCCGTGCCGCCCCCCAAAAGGAGTGCGCCAAATCAAACCGGGGGCCTGCCGGGCCAGTGAACGACCTGGTTGGACCAGTAGGCTCCCGGTCGGTCGAAGGGCCCCCAGTCCATCCGGGGACCAGCACTGGTAGAAATATAAAATTTGATATGTATTTACTGCTTGTGCTGGACCCAATTGATTGGCATATATGAAGACCCTCGCCCAATATATACCAACAAGTCCTTACACACTCTTAAACAGGCGCCAGCACACTCCCAACATAGTCCAAAAATGTATGTGGTAATATGTACTTTAAGTTCACCATACTACGGAATATTCAAAACTGGAGGAGATGGGGTTCAGTCAATGCGCACTTAATGTGCATTTGTATGGGAAAATTATATATTTTGCGAATGATTGATGTTGGAAAGCTACGTGGTACTTTGGTTTGAAAGACTTGTAAGTACCCTCTACGTACCTTTTGACATAGAAGTACACAACTACTCTTTAACAAATGTAATAGTGTGTCTTTGCTCTGTGTGTGTGTGTGTGTGTGTGTGTGTGTGTTTGTGTGTGAGAGAGAGAGAGAGAGGAAAAACGGGGAGAAACCACAACAATGTGCTTCTTGAAAACATGTCGATCGATCGATCGAGAGAGAGAGAGAGACAGAGAGAGAGAGAGAGAGAGGAAAAACGGGGAGAAACCACAACAATGTGCTTCTTGAAAAACATGTCATGTACCTTGTCTACACTTCTCATGTTATCCTTTTTAACAGTGTGTCTGAGTCATAATGAGCAATGAAGGTTGATGTTCGCCTTGCGGGGAACCATTACCCCTACCTACCACGTAGTAGCTTCCATCACTGCTACTCCCCTGAACGACGGGTCCTCTACCTCGGCCTCCTCTTCTTCCTCGTCCCCCTTCCCGATGGCCTGCAGCGGCTGCGTAGTCCCCTCCCTGGGCTACTCGGCTGCCGCTTTGCTCTTCCATTCCGTAATCTATATACTTGTAGGAGTGCCTTGCCTCCCCCTTTCGTCGAACGTGAGTAAAAGGCCGTTTTTTCCCTCTATATTTCCAGATGTAGTTTTGTTCTTCGAGCGTCTGCAAGCCTTTCCAATACTGGCAGTAATTTGCCTCTTGTAGGAAGTCAGCCTGATCTACAAAGATCTTGCTAAACTTCTCGTATGTCATGCCTTCCTCCTTGGTTTGAGGGTATAAATTGGTCCTAAGGGGGTCATGAATTGTGCCGGTGCAGTTATTCAGGATTTGCATGGGGGTTAGATGTACGCCAGACCTCTTCAAATCTGAAACGGGACCTGGCAAATATAACCTGGATATTTGGAGGGCAGAGCGGAAATGAATGTATGCTTGAGGGGTGAAAAACAAAAACAACTGGACCTGCCGTGAGCAAAGCGGCGGGTATCTGTTAACAGATGGGACGAGGATGCACCAGTCGCTCACTATGTACTGGTGCCACATTCTTGCAAGATGCAGTAGATAGACTCGTAACCGTCCATAGATTCACCAAATGTGATGTGGAAGATGCAATGCTTGGCATAATGCGCACACTTGATTGACCGCTTGGTGATTGATTGACAGAATGGATATTTCCTATTTTTGCCTTGGCGGTTATTCGATTGATTCATCGACTGCATCATGCCCACCATTGATTGATTAATTGATTGGTGATCTATTGATGGGATGGATGATTCCCTTTCTTCGCCTGTGGATTGATTGATTGACTGCAATGTGCCCACCATTGACTGATCGAGTGATTGGTGGTGCATCGGTTGCATGGATGATTCCTCCTCCTTCCCCCCCTCCCTCTGTCAATGGATCCATCGATTGATTGATTAGTGGTCAACTGCTGAGCTTTGTTCATGGACAACGAGCCAAGCTGATGCATGTGTTGGCGAGCTCTTCTTTTTTTTTGGTGTTGATTGATTGAGCTAAGGTTCCGCATGCCTGACCGGATCGTGGTGACCTCATCTATGGGCGATTTCGCCACTTCTCCCTCTTCTTTGATAAACCTCTGTGATTTGCCCCCTCTTCCGCCACCTCCGCCACCTTCTCTTCCTCCAATGCACACCCCATTGCCATGTCCTTCGGAGCCACTCGCCACCGTGCCCTCCTCGTCCCCATTATCCTTTGCCACCTCCTCCTCCGACAGCTCCTCGTCCTCCCTGTAAGCTGTGCCGCGTCCTCGTTCCGCTATGTCCAGATTTTGTGCACGCCGCGTGATCCTTCCCCACCTCCTCCTCCCTCTGCCCTACCTCTTCCGGCCGGGGGGGGAGGGGGGCAAGGGTGAATTATAGGATGCATGAGAAAGACCTCTCCTATCTCTTTGTATGTATATACGTATCAAAGGAATACAATATCAAGTTAAAAAAAGCAAAAAAAAGAAAGAAAAAATGTACAAATAAATATGGTGGGAAGTTTGGACTATGAATCACGCAAATTACTACCAGGCTGCTCCCCTCTCTCCTCTTGCACATCATGTCACACAAGCACAAACTCCGAAGCAGCGCATGCTGCCGCTCGTTCCCTCCTCTTCATTGTCATGTAAAGTCCGGTACTTGTGTGGATGGTCGCTCCTGTTGTCATGCCTATGGTTTGGTTGGGCACAAGCTCAAAGTCGAAGTTTTGGAAAATGATCGCCAGGGACACAATGACCTCTAGCATAGCAAACTGGTCCCCTACACACTTTCGAGGCCCCCCACTAAATGGGATGTACCGGAAATCGGTGTTCGTCTCATTCGGAACTGGCCCATCCAAGTCAAACCTCTCCGGGATGAACTCCTCTGGCTTGTCCCACACCTGGGGGGAGTGGTGGATATTGTAAACGGAGATCATGATGTCTTGCCCTGCACCCACACGGTAACCTCCGGGCAAAACGTCGGGCTCGTTTGCCCGCCGTATCAGGATCGGGGGGTGGGGATAAAGCCTCATGGACTCATTGATGCATCTTATCAAGTACTTCAGAGACTTGGTGTCCTCCAGAGTGGGTTTTCGTCGACCCGCAAGAACATTATCTAGTTCCTCCTTGACCTTAGCCATGGCGGCAGGGTTCTTAACCAGAAGATAGACGGTCCACGTCAGAACAGAACCCGTGGTTTCGTGGCCTGCGACGAGCATGGAGAGGAGGTCATCTCTGAGCTGCTGGCTTGACACCTCCTCGCGACTCTGGAGCAGAAACCGAAGTACGCTCGGGTCACTTTCATTGACATAATCGTTGTCCACATTATTGACTTGTCCTTGTTCTTGTTCTTCCTTGTCCACCATAGCTTTGCATTTGGCAATGAGCTCTTCCACCGTGGCACGAATAAGTGCAACCGCGGCGGCTGCCTTCCTTTGCCTTGGGACCAATTGGCACAGGAGGGGGATTTGCCAGTAGGGAAGGATGTCAGTGGAGCGGGACTCGGTCTCCTTGAGAGCTGTGTACACAGCCTGAATGACAGGGCTGTCTCGCTGCAAAGAGTCAAAGTCAAAGTTGAACACGGCTTTCCCAATGACGTCCAAAGTGAGTTGGGAGAAGCAGGACTCCACATCTACCGCTCGTCGTTCCAGCGCAGCTTGGTCCAGCTTCTGAACCAGTCGGTCCACGCACGCGCCGAATACTCTATCCACCATAGTCTCCAGGTATTCCTTGTGCAAGGAAGGGGCCACCGCTCTGCGCCTCACTGTCCAGATCTCTCCTTCTGCTATTGCAAACCCCGAGCCAAATAGGAACTCAGCCACCTCAGACACCAAACCCTTCTTGTATTTTCCGTAATTGCGCAGTACGTGCTTAGCAGCCTGAGGGTCTCCGATGACAACGAAGTTTCTTGGCCCAGCCGCCAGACGATAGACAGAACCAGATTCGAGCATCCATTTGAAAAGGGGAAGGAACAGGGCGCCACCCAGAAGGTCGCGCACGTCATCCAATTTCGCATTGGCCACTGGGATCCCAGACTGGTCAGGACCGCGCAGCGTGCCCATGCCCCCTTGAACAAGAGACGTCAACCAATCAGGGCTGATCCAAGACAACCCGGCGCCCTTCGTGTCTTTGCTGGCTCCAGCTCCACTGCCCTCTGTTCGCTCTGCGTGTCCTCCATCACCTTTACTCTTATCAACTTTGTCTTCTTCTTCTTCCCCGCCCTGTAGTGCTCCCCTTTCCCCTCTTCCTGTCGTCGCCTTCAGTTGTGTCCGCCGCCGTGCAACTCGTCGATGATGCACCGACTCCCACTCCGGTGATGGCACTAGTGTTTCTCTCTGGCAGCTCATTCCTTCCACATCTACCTCCCAAGGTCGGGCTGCTGATCGTCCTGTCGCCATCGGTGGCAAGTGTCCCCTGCAAACACGAAGGGACGTGGACGGAAGCATAAGCGTTCTTGTTCGAGTCCGGTCACAGTCACAATCCAACGCGTGGAGTGGACTCGATCCGCAGACCGATCGCCGCAATGAGGCCGAATGAGAATCCGCCACCTGTTTCCGAATCGGGGGCGATGGAGACACAGCGGCATCGCCAGCTGACCGACGAGCTTCTGTCACAAGATAATGATCGGTCGTCTTGAGCCAGCGTTTTCTGTAAACACTCGTTGCTGGCCCAACACCGACACCCGCTCCTCCTCTAGCCTCCCTCACGCACGCAACTGAAAAAGGCATGCTTGTAGCGGAACGAGCAGAGGTGGGGAGGTGGTGATGAGATGTACAGGTGTGGTGAGCGCCGCGCTCGCTGAGTTTAGAGAACGCCACATTGGCGCCACAGGGCTCCACATTCGTGCAACATGACGAAGGCGATGGAGGAAAGGACAGCGAGGCTAACACTGAAGGCCGCATAGTTGAGTAAGACGCCATAGCTATACCTATACAACACTCCATTGATAGTCCTTCCAGCCGTGGACTACTTTGCTGCTCTACCTTTAGGCCCCCTTCTTCTTCTTCTTCTTCTTCTTCTTCTTCTTCTTTGGCCAGGGGGGAGGGGACAGGGGAGGGGGGAACCAAACAATTTTACTCCAAATCAAATAGGAACTAGATGACCTGTTGCAGCCTCGCTTGCAAGAAAACAGTAGGGAATACCACCCAACCTTTTTTCTTTTACTGTGATCCTTTTCTTTGGGAAGCTGTTACCTTCTCAGCATTGGTTTTTGTTTTGCACTGTGTGAAATCACCAAAACACAGTTGCAGGACAGAAGCTTAAACACTTTTCTGATTTCTGATAACAATTTATGCTGTCCCTTTAATCTGTTTGCTCAAGATTCTTATTCGAAGTCTGTTTGCTGTGTTTCCTCAGTATGTTCGTGATAAATATGTCATGCGCTTACTTGCCGAGTTTTGACTCTCTATGTGTGAGAGAGAGTGTGTGTGCGTGTGTGTGTGTGTGTGTGTGTGTGTGTGCAAGTGCGTACACGTGGGAGTGTGTGTGAGAGTCTCAGTTCAGTTGGTCGAGATGGTGTGGTTGAGAATTGGCTGGAGGGAGTTGTGGGAAGTCGCCTTCAATTATAAGAGTGCCAATGTATTTAAGCAGGCCTAGTAATGTATGAATGAATTAATCAGCATCCAATGCCCTCGTAATGTATGCATGAAGTAATCAGCATCCACTCCGCGCTCCGCAAATGCTATTCCCTGGGGGAGTTGTCGGCAGTTGTTTTGCCATGTGCGCCATAATGCTGGACGTGCATCTTGGAGCATTTCCTGGAAGGCAAAAGCCAGAGAAGAAACCAAGCAGCACGTGTCAAAATCACTTCGTGGACAGT